AGAACTGAATTTTTCATATAGTTATAGCTTCCTTTTATTGTAACTGTTGTTTGCTGGACATCCTGGCACGCTACGTGACAATGCGTTGACCATGAAGCCCAGACGACCCAAGCAAACCAAGCAAACCAAGCTCACAGCCATGAAGCTCGCTCCTTCGCTCCTTCTGTGGTTAATGTATAATCTGCCTGAAGTTGATACGGTTGAGGGATGCTGGGCGGATATTGCTGGCCTGAGTATCACTGGCGGAGCCCTGTGAGGTTCACACTCGCACATGTAGGAGCCCAAGTGCTGTGGCGCAAACCCCTGGCTTGGTGTTTATTATGGCCAAGGAAGGAGCAGCATGTAGGCCCGACCTAGTGCTTATGTGCTGAGCCAAGGCTGGATGTGGACGTGTTGGGCGATTGGCAGAATCCTGGAGTAGTCGGAGTGTGCGTAAGAGGGGGATGACGTGTTTAGTGGTGTTTTGATTACCGTCGTGGCAGGGGGCAATGATATCTAATACATTCCCTTTATGATGAAGCGTCGAAATGGGAGCGTTTCGCGGTGCATTGTCGTCCCGTGTATGCATCCCTAACAAGGGTTCAGGCGAGTTGATGAAGCAGCCGTAGTGCTTCCTTTTAGGAGTTGCAGCGGTGGGGTGAGGATCAGGGCTGCGTTTGCGCATGGACTGCTGTATGGCATTTGCTGTTTCTCATGCATCAGTTTTTGCTTGTGATGGAGGTAGTGCTATGTACATGATGGTTTCACCACTCCTCGTACGTCTGTGAAGGTTTGAAGGTATAATGTGGTGGTAAGCTAAATCGCCGAGTACGGCATGCTGCGTTGAATCACCTTATTCTATTTCATCGTTGGGATTTGCCCGGCCGCCCAACCCTTTCATTTGCTGCGGATGCCTGGATGTGCGCGTGCACCGCGGGGCTATTCACTGATTGCGGTTGACCAGAAATAGTTGGTGAGTGGAGTGTAGTCAGCTACTTCGAAGCCGAAAAGGGCCCTCGGCCCGGGTGTAGCAAGGAGTTGCCCCGCAGTATTCCGCAGGGGACGCTGTACGGCACTGGGCTGCAAGTGGCTAGACCCACCACTACGGGGTGCTATATCACGACTTCAGAAAAGTACTGATCGGCAGCTGCAGATGTCAGATCCCGTGATAGTGCGCTCTCCAGGATTCTAAACGAGGGCCATCTGGTTTGTGGTGGTGTAAAACACCCGGCCCCTTGCCAGCCCTTGCCCCCAAAAGACGATCACGATGACGCATGATGATGATGATGATGATCATGATAACGATAAGGATCAGAAGGACGCTTGCAAGGAAGACGGGACACGTAGGAACTGGAAAACTTGCACACATCAGTCGTGCGGGCTCAGCAACGCAGGGGTGATTACGACACTAGATATGATAAATATGATATGACACGATATCTTGTGTAGCAGCGCAAAACCTCGGCAAAAAGCAGCAGCAGCAGCAGCAGCAGCAGCCGCCGCATGTGGCCCTCCTCCATCCGCCCGTATACAGAAGCCGGTGGTGGGAGGTATGTGTGTATGAGGTAGCAGCACTGTGGCTACTATTACCGACCGCGCCACACAGTGAGGACTCCCCATCGCCCATCCCTCTCTCCTCGCTCCACGCACCCTTTCCTCTCCCCTTCCCTCGTCCCTCCTCTTCGCATGCTGGTCTGTCCACCCGTCATGACGTGTGTACGGTGGGGTGTATTCAGTACCCCCATAACCACCGCGGGTCGTTCCCAAACGCCCTCGAAAGCTCCTGATTGAAGGGCCTGCGGAGGGAGGGGCAGCGGAAACAGTAGCAAAGAGGTAACACAAAAACTAGCAACAGCAGCGAGAGCGTGTATGATCGGTGGCAGCAAAAACCGCCGCCGCAGCAGCAGCAGCGACACCGGGGCAACAGCAGCAGCAGCAGCAGCAGCTGGGTCGACAGAACAGAGCCAGCCCATGCACCCGAAGAAGGCACCGAGACGGAGGGATAGCTGACCTCCTGTGTCGCATGAGGTGAACACGGGGCCCGCTGTACGGTGGTGGTAGGAATAGAAGCGGAATAACGGTGTCCGCAGCTACAGCCGCAGCGACAGCACCACGACAGCCATCAGAGCAGCAGCATGCTTCCGTGGCCGTAGCCGCAGCAGCATGCGGTCACACAAGACGAGTCACTCTCATGAGATAAAACCCTAAGAATGAAAATCCCCTTCCTTCCCTCTCATCCCATCCCACCAACTCACTTGTAAAAGTCCCTTAGCAGCTGGTAGGCCGTGTTGAGCTCCCGGCTTGCCCCCTTACTGTCATCATACTTGGATGACTGTTTCAGCAATCACCACCACCACAACCAGCATCGTAACCACGACCACCCTCAGGAGTTTTGATGAAGGAGGAGGAGGGGGAGGAGGGGGACAAGGAAGAAGCGGCAGCGCCGGAGATAGCGGAGACGGAGGCCGAGCGGTCCATTGGATGCGGCGACGAGGCAACGGGTATACGAAGAATGCAGACAGACAGACAGACAGACAGACAGAAGCGGGAAAGCGTGAGGATATAATGTGATGATGAGGAGGAAGCACAAGGGGCGATTAGGGCGCATTAGGGAAAGGTTCCAAATGGACCGCATGCGGGAATGCGGGGGGTCACAGGGAGTTCGGGAAGGGTGGGGTGGGGGCCCCGGGGCTCGGAGATACTTCACGCAATAATGATGGTGATGATGATGATGATGATGATGATGATGATGATGATGATGATGATGATGATGATGGTGATGATGATGATGATGATGATGATGATGATGATGATGATGATGGTGATGATGATAATGATAATGAGGAGTAGGAGGCGGAGGAGGCGGGGGACGAACCAATACATTGCGACGGAGGGAAAACATGACGGGGGCCGGCGGTACGGGGCGCGCCTGCGTGGGTATGTGCAAGGGTATGTGTATGTATGCATGTCTGTCTGTTTGTATGAATGTATGTGTACGTAAACTTCTACAAGGGAACAGTGGGGCCCAGACTCTTCCCCACATGCCTGTTCACCTACCCAACATCACCACCCAACTACCTACCCAACGTAACCACCCACTACCCACACCACCCCCGGTGAAGCTACCCCGCATGCCACTCACCAAGGAACTTGATAGCCGCGGTCAAGTGCTCCACGGGGGCCGACTTGTAGTCCTCAGTGCGCATAAAGAGAAAACGATCGCGAGGCCACACGGATAGCCACCCCCCCAGGTACTTGTCGTACATGCCCTTGACGAGCTGCTGCGGGTGGTAGGCCTGCGGGTCGGGGTGCGACGGGAAGACGGGATGGTGTGTGGCTGGTTGGTGCGGGGGCAGAGGTAGGGGGTGGGGAAAGG